CTCACAGAGAAAATATGTCGAGAGCTCTCAGCTCAGTGCCTGGCAAGTGGGTGCACCACGATGTGTAGAGGCACAGCAGGGGGCCTTGGTGATTCTTAGCCTCTAAGAGGGTCTCAAAGAAGACACTGCCTTCCATTATCCAATGGCACAGGTACCATATACACTATGCACCAAGAGGTAGCATCAGAGGGGGGGATGTCACACAAGCACTCATCTGAACCAATGTTACTAGGGACCAAAGGAAGGCTTGGAGAGGTTATATGGTGAGCCCAAGAGCACATAGCTAGGAAGAGGCAAGGAGGAACAGCAGGGTCCTAAGACCCTCGGCCTTGGTCAAGGAGAGGAGGCCTTGGCTCATTCTAGGGTCTCTGAGCAGCTCCCCAGTAAGATGGGCATAGGCCCAGGCCCACCAAGACCGCAGCACCCAGTAGTAGAAGGACCTGCAAGAATTCCCACGGCTGCAGGGAGAGGACCTCAACCCCTGCCCTAAGCCCCAAGGGCACATTTTGTCTCCAAGAGGGTGCAGGTCACCCCTGCGCAACTCTCCAGAAAAACTGGGCATATCAGGGCTTCTCTCCAGTGCAATCTGAGGGACCCAAATCCAGAGATGCAGCCTTATAAGACCTTGCACTATTCCAGACACAAGACCAAGTGTTCAGCCAATCTCAGCTCACACAGAGGGGCTCATGGTGAGCCCCATGCCACAGTGGAAGCTCAGGCAACGGATGTTGACCATCTTCTGGCCCAGTGGGAGGTTATACCTGAGACCCCGAGGGCTCTTCCCAATGACTTACCATGATGCCAACTTTAGGAATCTCTCAGGGGGTCTTGCATGCTACCATTAGTGGAATGGCCAGTGGTTTAAGGAGGCAATGTCCTTATGCTGCTCTCCCTATGCTATGACGGAACTTGCCCAGAAACTAGCATGCATTTGTGTGCCCCATGTTCAAAAAATCTCAGGATGGTAACTCAGGGTAAAATGGATATTAAAAACCCTGTAACTGACACCCAGGGGTGTATGCTGCCCTCTCCACACCCTTGTCCACACTTCTGCCTGGGGCTTTGCCACTTACAGTGTGGCTTTGGGCAAATCACCCTCCCTCTCTGTGCCTAGCTTCCCTTTATAAAATGGGGTTGATAATGCACCCCTTGCACAGGTTGTGGTAAGGATTAAATGAGGGAAGGCCTGCAGGGCTTGGCACACAGTATAGTTTCAATGAAGGTGGACTCTGGTCCTCTGAGCCCTGTGTAACGTCCCAGCAGACAGAGTGAAAGTGTAAGGCAAAAGATGCCACAGCTCGTGGCCAAAGGCAGGGCAACTCAGCCCTCCACGGGGAAGTCCACAGGATGCCCTGGAATTCATCCATTCATTCCGCAGCATGCACTGGATAACAACCGGGCTAACCAATGCCAAGCCGCACACTGGGAGCTGGGGGCAGAGACACACAAGGCCTTGTCACTGCGTCCGCTGAAGCTTACAGACCTATGGGACACCTACTCCGTGGGATCGCCGGCGCGACAGAGGGCAGCAGAGGGCCGGGCAAGCCCCGCAGAGGCTAATGCAGGCTGAGGCGGAGATGCAGGTGAAGCTGGAAGGAGCCTAGGCACAGGACTCCCCATGCACAGAAGTCCCAAGGAAAGACAGCAGGGGAATGCGCTGAGGGACGCAGGGTTGGGGGTGGCGGTGGTGTCCAAAGACAAAGTTAGGAGGGCATCTATTTCACAGACAGGGCTGCGCAAAGACAAGCCCAGCTCATAATTTTGAATTCGCAAGAAAATTCCAAACCTCCGGGGGGCGCTTCAAGCCCGGTACTGCACAAAGCTCTCGTTACCCCAGCCCCGAGCGAAGAGAGGCGGAAACAGGCCCGCGCGCTCCTCGGTGCACGCTGGTCGCTAGGCGACAGACCCCGCCCCCGCAGCCGTCCCGCTTCCGCCAGTCCCACCCGCAGCTGCTGCTAGCGCGCCCTCTACCGGCGGTGGCCGCCCAGTGCACCCGGCGTCAAGGAATGCCAGCCGGTTGCCTTCCAGAACATTCTCTGGTTTATAGCCAAACCTCCGCCATTTGGGATGCAACGCTGCCAGGCCGATGATCTCTCCACTTTCCATACTTTCCTGCCTGGACCTGGCTGACCCCACACCCTCCGGGACCTGGGCAGGGCCAGCCAGTGAGGGAGAGGCTGGAGAGGTAGGTAGGCAGGTAGGCAGGTCCGGTTGAACATGTTGGTCCTTACTCTTAAGAGCAGTAGGGAGCCACGGAAGGCTGGTGAGCAAGGGCATCAACATGAGCAGATCTGATTTTTCAGTGCTTATGCTGTTGCTGCTGGAGGACAGCTTGGAGGAGCAGGGCATTCGGGGAGTGTGGACTAGACTGACTGGCAAGATTACAGGGAAGAGGTCCGCCACCCACCTGGATAAGAGCCCACAGAAACAGGGCAGGACAGGCTGGGGGCTCTCACAATTGGGGTTCATACCAGAGGGAAGGGAGGAAAGCAAGCCTCTGACCCTGAAAACCAGTAGGCCAGGGGGCAGCACTGGGGCAGGCTCCTGCCCCACAGTTGGTCTTTCCACCCCAGCAGGCGCCTCCAAGGCCCCAGGAACGATGCTGACCAACCTATCTATGGTGCTTCGTCAAATCACAGGACTATAGGACTGAGAAATCCTCCCTGTCCTGGAGTCCTGGGGGCGTGGATCCTCACAACAGGACATTATTCTCAGAAGGCCACAGCTTCCCCATCTCAAACCCCAGAGGCTTACTAGATAACTGGCTTCCTTGCACTGGTCTGGAATAGTGTAGTCACAAAGACTGTCTCATTCTTCTGTGTGCTGATCAGAAACAGGAAAACAGCTTTATTTGATTAATGCAGCTTGGCTGAAAAATCTTTCAAAATGTGGAGTCCAAGATAAAAGTGTGATGAAAAAGTAGGGTTACTGATCCAGCCCTGCCTGGCCATACTGGCAGGTCAGGGTCTGGTTAGGGAAGGGTAAGTCCAAGTGGAACCAGAAAGAAGGCCTTCTCCCACCCTCCCAGGATCCTGCAGCACTGTGGCCTCGGGTGCAAGACCAGCATTGGGGTGACTGACAGTTTCGGCCTCTAACCCAGGCGAGTCCAAATCACTGCATCATCAGATCCAGGCTGAAGCCAATGCTGACCTGCAGGCCCCAGGCCTCAGCATGCTTGGGTTGCCCTGCTGAAAGCAACTTTGTGTCTATAAAGCAGTAACTAAAAAATTCCAATGGCAGTGCCTGCTCCAGTGCCTTCCAACAGGGCAGGCGTAGGCCCTGGATCCCCTGCCATCACATTGATGTAAGAGAACAGTTAGGATCACTTCTCAGTGATCTTCCTGCTACCTGTCCTAGGAGCTAGAAGGATGCTTGGACACCCCCGCCCACAGGCAAGTCAAGAAGTAGGTCAGCTTGTTCTCCTGGGTACCAGCCCCTTACCTTGGAATCCTTCACTCCACATTCCCTCCCCTTTCTGCACCTGTACTGGGAGTACCCATCTCTCTTCACCTGACTCATTCTTGCCCTTTAAGATGCAGTTGAGGCCCTGACTCCTGCAGGAGGCTTTCTCTGACTACTCCCACAGCCTGTCTACCTCTCTCTGTTCTAGTACCAATCCTGTGGGACTTTTTCTGTCTCTTCTACTAGATTCCATGCTTCTCATAGGCAAAGCTGGGGACTGTTAGGTTCTGAATCCAGTTGAGACACAGGATGTGTTTTCAAGAAACAAATAAAACCAAAGAAAGAGACCCAGGACCCTAAAACAGCAAAATGGGATCAAGTTCTGTTTTGTTTTTTGTTTTTTTTTTAAACCATGTCCCTCTGCAAAGACCATGCAAAGAGCTAGAGAACGGAAACTAAAAGAAATATTTACATTTTATGTGTCTGCAGGAGATTTCCTTAAAAGGTCTCTACTGCTTAAAAGAATAATAGTAATAATAAAGAAAGTAAAGAAGTCCACTAGCCTTGCCCAGTCCTCTCACTTGATAAGAAAGGTAAAGGAAGGGGGAGGGTAGAATAGGAAGGGCCTTGCCTAAGCAAGTGCACAGTCAAGGCCAGCAACAGGCCATGAACCCAGGCCCCCCAATGCCCCTACCCAGGCTCCTGCCCAACACTGCCTTCAGTAAGAATTAAAGAAAGAATAAACCTTGCACAAGCATTTCTAATGCTCGTTTTATTTCAACAGTCAACCGTCCCCAGAGAAAAAACTGCTGATGTCACAGGTGATTCAGAAGCACCATTCTATTTATTCCCTGGAAACGGCATCAATGCTTAGAACAGCCTACCTTTTTAAAGTTGGCAATCGCTATAAAAACATCAAATAGTCAAACTTTAATAGATTTTTTAAAACCAGAAATGATGCCCATAATGGCTTAAACATTATGGAGGTATATGCAGCCCCAGCGGTCAGGATGCTTGCTGGTAAAACACCCTGGAGAAGGGGTGAGGGGCAGTGGCCAGGAAGATGGTGGGAGACACAGCAGCAAGGCAGGACGCTGCAGAACCTGCTGTCAACGTCCCTGGCCTTGGCTGCTTGCTCTAGCCACCTGGATGGGCTAGAAGCTTGATGTCTGTGATGCCCCAGCCCCTGGGACCAGGCAAAGGCAGCAGAAGGTTGAAATAGATGGTGCCGCCTGTCCTGGAGCGGGGCCTGAAGAAATCAAAGACCACCTCTGGGGCTCAGTCCGATAAACGGCAGTGCAACCCAGCACCAGTTAAATTCATTCCTAAATGGGAGCTTCCTCCAGCCCCCCCACTCCTCAGAGCCCTGGACCTCCCCTATAATATCTTCCTCCACACTCCTCCTTTAACCGCACAGGACTGAGAGAACCTTAGAAGTCACCCTCCTTCCTCCTATCTTGAACTGGGAATCTGCTGCCATCCATACCTATCAACATCCTTCTCCCTAAACATCACGCATACAGACAAGAAAATCATTGCTGTCACCTCCCGCCCCTTGACATCCCACTCTGCTGGCCTGGAGGGGCAGGCCCTGGGGCCTAGTCGGACTGCTCCTGAGATGATGGCTGGCTGGGCTCACCCAGCACCTCCGCATCCTGGTCATCTGTGAAGGACAAAGAAGGCAGCTGGATTTAGAAAGAGGGAAAATTATCCGTTTGCAGATGCAGATTTTCTATAAGGCTGTCTCATTATTCCCAGTCCCTATGGAGAATGAATTTAATTTGCTAGGTATCAGGAGACTGGAATCCTAGCCCTGGCCACATGATACAGACTCAAGTTCCAGCTCCAGCTCTGCTCCTCACAAGCTGGGTGGCATTAAGTAAGATACTCCACAGCTCAGAACCTCAGCTTCCACTTCTGTAAACCAAGACAATGCCCACCTTGCATCGGCAGCATGGAGAGTGATGAAGCAGTCAGTGATAGCCTACCTTGACTAATGCCTTCATTGCTTCAGGTTCTTTTTAATCATCAGAATAACCTCATGAGGTAGGGACCATTATTAGTCCACTTTTACACATGCTGCAGCTAAGGCAGCAGACCCCTCACAGGGAGTGAATTAGCTTGCCCAGGTTACACAGCTGCTAAGTGCTAGAGCCAGGACTCATATACAGGCCACCCAGCACCAGGGCCAGCAGCTTCAAGCCACACTGTACCACCTCTCCAGCTACTGGGCCTAGGCATCACACACACAGCAAGTGTGCAAAAGGCCTCAGTTTCCGCTTCAGTAAAATGAGGATGAATGACATCACCTGACTCACCTAGTGCCTAAGATGGTTCTCACAGTCATTTTAAAGACCTGGTTGAGTTTGCCAGCCCTTTCCAAATCACAGGAGCCTCAGGGGAAGATTGAAAGGAAAAAACTTCCTAGAGCTTTTAAAGCTGCAAGGGCCCTCAAAGGAAAACCCAAAGCATTTTCACATCCAGAACTTCATTCGACCATCACGGTAACCCTGTAAGGGGGCCATTTTACATTTGAAAAGACTGAGGCCTGAATGCCCAAGCTCACTCAGTGTACCAGTGGCAGAGCTTGTAAAGGACAGAGTCTCTATCTCCTGGTCTGGTTTTCTCTGAGTGGCCTGGGGCAGAGGAACAACCCCACCAGCGCCAAACTGGCTCCGGACTACTACTCCAGGCTCAGCATCTGCTGTGGCCCCACCCCAGCCAAAGAGGCCTGGCACCTCCAGTCTTTCGAACAAACCATATGCGTGCCATCCTCCAAACCTTTGCCCACGGTGCTGACATGGTGAGGAAATAAGCATTAGATTGGAGTCAGACAGAGAACTCTGCTCAACTCCCAGCTCTGCCATTGGCATCTACGGGAACCTCTTGGGGCCTCAGTTTCCTCACCTGGAATCCCATTCCCACCTCCCTTGCTTGCTTATGGGGACTGAGGGGCTTAAGAAAGAACTTATTCCAGGGCCCAGCACATTTTAAATTCTATGTCCCTTCTCTCCATATCTACTTCAGATTAGGCCCCCCTTCCTCCAGAAAGTCTTCCTGGCTCTCCTGGGGACTAGAAGACTGGTGCTCACTTACCAGTGTTCTCCTTGTCTGTATCAGACAGGATGGTCAGCGAGAAAGATGGTGGAGGTGGTGGAGGTGGCGGCGGTGGGAGTACGTGGAGTGCAGAGAGGAAGCCTGGCGGAAGAAACTGGGGCTGCAGCGGTGTTGGTGGGGGTGGGGGCGGGGGTGGAGCTGGGAGCGGGGGCGGTGGGTAGTAGCTTGGCCGGAAGTCTCCCACTGGTTCGGACACCTGCAGTGCACATGAGGCAGAGAGATAGAGAGGGGAGACAGTTAGCCAGATGAGCTGATCAAATATGGCTCTTGTTCCCTTGAATGGGGGATTCCCCATGGGGTAGATTCACTTCTGTGGCCCCAAACACCTAGGCACAGGGCACTTGGAATGGAGCCTTCAGCAAACACCTTCCAAATGGTTGAAGGCAAGAAGGAATACAGGCACTCTCAGATAAGCCTGGGAAGAGCTGAACAGCAACACTGAGCCCTTCTGTATATGCCAGTAGTATTATGATCAGATCCTTATAACCCTAGGGGGTGGGTGCTATTACTATCCTCACTGCAATGATGAAAAACAGGTTCAGTGAGATGAAGCTACAGGCCCAGAGCACCAGAGCTGCTAAGTGACTAAGGTAGAATCCCAAGTCTGTGTGACTCCACCGGCCACTAGCTGACTCCTGCTCGGCACTACTTTGTGCTGGGGAAGGATCTGAATGCATCCCAACCCCATAAAGTCCCCTTGTCTGGCATGTGTAGTGACAAGCTCAAGTGTCAGGGGGCCTTTGGGAGAAAAAGTCAGCAACCTGGGTGTAGCGCAGCTGTTACTGTGGCAAGGAAAGCTGGAGGACTTCAGGCAAATGGCCTCACTGACCCAACCCTTCTGTTTCCGTTCCTTCTTCAGTAGATAGACGCTAACCTCACACCACAATAGCACAAGGCCCAATGAAAGGCTCTGGAAGGGGGATGACTACAGAACTCAGAGCTTAATTGGGAAAGACAGGAATGTTATAAGAAATAATAATGAATTTTGGATGTAATTCCTCTTATTTACTTCTCTAGATACTTCAGAGCAGCACTTCCCAAGCTGCTCCCTGGTGTCCTACAAGATACTTCTAAGTGTTCTTTTTTGTTTTTTTTTAAGACTAGTCAAGTGCAGTATTGAGAAGGGGGAAAGTAGTAGAACAAGGAGTTCAATCTGTAACTGACTGTGAACAATCAAGTGAGATAACTCACTACCTTCAGACCAACCCTAAGTGTTCTTAAAAGTGCTCTTAGTCAAGTCAGTTTGAGAAACCCCACACTGGAGGATCACACATGAGCATATTAAAGGCTCTGGGCAGTCTGCAAAAATCTCCTTTGATTAATCTAGCATTTCCTAACTCTATTTGACCACAAGGAAGGGAAGAAAGCCCACTTTTAAGTACCTACTATGTGCTAGACCCTGTGCTAGGCATTTTACATGTATCACACCTTATTTATCACTTATCAGCAACCTTGTGAGATAGGCTCTCCCACCCTATTTTACAGACTAAAAACTTGAGTGGGGGCCTCAGAGGTCAGCTAACTTCCCCAGGTCACATGGCTAGGAAACAATGGAGGTAGGATTGGACCCTAGGTCTGTCCAAATCCAAGGCTGTGCTATTCTGGGAAGAGAAGAACAGAGGAAACAAAGCAGCAGAAGGTGGGGCAGGGACAGGAAGAGGAAGACGTTTCTGGGGAGCATCTCCAGGCCTGGGCAGGGGGCAGCAGGACAGGGATGAAAGTAATCCATAGGCTCTTGGGTTTGAAATAGCCTCACAAATAAATGCCTGATCCTCTCTCTCCAGACATGAGGGGGTGGAAGCGGGGATTATTAGTGCTTTAATTCTAAGCTGCTCCGCCAAGTCTCTCCCTGGATCACAGCTCCTGCCTGGGGCCTGTGGTGGCAGCTCGGGCCCAGATAAACCAACTGAGATCACACTCTTAATAAAGGCCGTCTGGCAGGCCTGTCAATCAGAGCCCTGCTGTGGACGCCAGGCTCTAGGCTTCTGTGTGAGCAGACGGAGTGTGCTCCACTTGGCCAGAGCCTCTCTCTTTATGTGGAGGCTAGAGGTGCCTTGCTCTCCCTGGGCTGCCACAGGGTGGCCAAAGGCAGCACCCATAGATGTCAGGCAGTGCAGTGGTGATGACGCATTTTGGCTGTGCGTGTTCTGCCTCTGTGTGAGACACACGTGGGCAACAGGAAGTGCTTGGGCCGGAGTCAGGTGACCGAGATCCATGTCCTGGCTCCATCACCAACCAGCTGTGTAATCTGAATCTCAGTCCCTCATTCTCCAGTTCTGAGGCCTTGGACAAAACCTTTTCTCAGGCTTTTTGCTCGACTCTACAATGGGGTAATATCATATACCTTGAAGGTTCACATAGGGTCTGGAGGCACCCTGGAAATTATCAAGGCCAGTGGCTTTCAAACTTTCTTCCCTTGAGTCAATGGAAATTGATTTATAAGTACAACTTACGGTATCTAAAACAGACAGAAGAGATGCTGATGCTCCTGGGGCTGAGTAGGACCTAGTAGCCCATGTGCCCAACCTGCCCAGGCACAGCTGGAACTCCAACAAATGGATCCACACTGTGGCAAATGACTTTCGTTATGTAAATAACAAGCTTTCATCTTTCTTCCTAATCCCATTCCATATTAAATGAAGTCTGCTCTCTCCTCACCCCTCTCTACCCTCCACCTAAGGGAAACATGTCTATAGAAACATGGCTTTTAGCTCTGAGGGAGGAAGAAAAGGTAGTGGTGGTCCCTATTTCCATGAACCTGCTCCAGCCTACAGGGCCGAAGTCAGGACTCCCAGCCTCTCACTGTCCTGCAGTCCTGACGGCCCTCAGAGGTTGCCAAAAGGTAGAGGGCTTGTAACTATCCTAGTCTGGAAAGGGCTGGTAACCAAGCCACAAAACGTAGCCACTCCTCCCTCATACTCCACACAACAGGGTGACCTTTTTCTCACACTTGGCATTCAAAACTCCAGGCTTAAAGAGAACACCAGTTAGTAACTGACCATTAATCTTATAAAAGAGTTAAATTCCATTATTTAAACAAATATTTCCTAAGGTGACAGGTGTTCAGGGAAAGGTTTCTATATTTTTCATGACTCAGCTCAAATGCCGCCACCAGCTCCTGAAAGCCCTCTGCAATCTCAAGTGGGCTATACCTATGGGCAGGGAACCAACATCTGGTCCTGGCTCTGCCCTGAACTCGGTGGCCCTAGGAAACTGATAGTCACACTCGGGTGCCCAGCAAAATAAAGGGCTCTTCTAGCATCAGCATCCCATGAGTAAAGGCTAGTGTTTAGCCCCAGGCTCCCAGAGCCTTTTAGTCTACAACCCCGAAAAGCACATGCCACAGCCCAGGCCGAGCGGTGCAGACTTGTCTACATGTGTGCACTTCCAGCAAGACACACGCTACCCGGTCAATGCTGCATCCCTCCTACCTGCGTTCAGCTCCTACCTGGAGCTGGCACAGAGTGGGCACACCATTTATGACAACTGGCTTCCTGGGACTGAGTATCCATAAAGGCAGCAAGGATGGGACAAGAAGGAACCTGGAAAGGAGTGAGGGATGGGACTCACCAAGCCTCCTCCATGGTAGTGGCTGCAGGACACATGCCGGAAGCCCGGCTGCAGGGGGATCCCCGGGGCTGGGGGTGCATCCTGGTAGCCCAGTGGGAACGGGCGGTAGGGATGCATCGGGTACAGCTTGGAAGGCTCTCTCTCCAGGTACTCAGACCCTATCACACGATTCGAGTTGATGCTCAGTGGGGGCCCTAAAGAAGGCAAGCAATTGGGGAAATGTTAGAGCTGGGAAAAAGAGCGTCACACAGGACTGTCAAGGGTGGCAGCATAACAAACACATTATCCATTTACAAAGAACTCCCCCAGCCATTACGTGTTGACCTCACTGCTTTTTAATCCTTCAGCCACGTCCCACTGCTCTTAGAAAAATTCTCAGCACAGCCACGCACCCCAGTGGGGCTGGTTCCTGCCACAACCTCATCCTGCCCTCTAACCTAACCGCCTCTTGCTTACGGTCCAGCCCAAGGCCTTTGCAGATGCTGTTTGCTGCACTGGAAGGCTTTCTCTCCTCACCCCACCTGGCCTCCTGAGGTCCTCAGTGCTCAGCTACACCTCTTCCTTCAGGCCACAGCTGAAGCATCAATTATTAGAGCTCTGTACACGGATTCATGTGGTTCTTTGATCAACCTCGTCCCTCCCACAAGGACAAGATCCCCACCTCTTCATCCCATGTCTGGCACATTGTATTTAATAAGCGCTTAGCGTCTGTTCATTTGCTCAGAGAGGGAACAAAGAAAGGCGCCCTGTGCTCCTGGAAAGGGAGCTTTCTCCCAGGGTTGCTGTTTCAGGTCTGTCTTCCCCATCGGACACCCAGTTTCCTGGGGACCTAGATTTTCCTAGAAAGTCCAGAAGGCAGAAATGACCGTCAGAGACCCGCAGGCCAGTTCCCGAAGCACAGGGAAGGGAAAGACTGCCACCAAAAGGAGGAGCGTGCCCAAGGGTGGGAGGTGAGCAGCCCCCGGCCTCCCGACTCAGACGCGTGCCCTTTCTACCACACTGCCGTAGGGAAAACACCAAGAAAACACCTCCGCACCCAAAAAAGCCATTTTTTAACACCATTAACTGCCACGTGAGTTGCAGTTAACTCACGCTAGTTTTGAGGCCCGGGGCCTCCTCAAGTGTGAGTAACTCACACGTCTCTTCACCTTGGGAGCCACGTGAATTATTTCAAGTTGCGCACAACGCACAGATGGAAAACAATTAAAAATAACAAAGTTTTCATTAAATTAGAAAGGATCATTTTGTTTTCGAAGTTTGTATTCTATTTTCGTAATAAAACATTGTGGCGCCAAGGAAAATTTTTCTAGTGTGGCAGTGTGTTAAAAGCCTCAAATGTACATATGACTTAAAATTGTACTTCAATACTGAAAGCAGTAAGACATAAAGTACAATGTAATTTATGGAAAAGGTGAGGGGAGAAAAAAGAAGCTGACCAACCGTTCTCTCGTGGGGAGTGGAGAAGCCGTTCGTGTCCCGTCCACAAAAAGGGTGGGAAGGGATGCGCAAGCGCACTGGGCCAGCGCACGGCTGAGGGGAGGAGCCTCCAGACTGTGGCAAGGGAAGGAAAAATGCGCAGGCGCAGTCATAGTTGAGCCAGCCCACCAGCAGGGACATTTTGGAGGCGGAGCCTCCAGCCCAAGAAAAGAGCGGGAAAGAGGTGCGCAAGCGCAGTAAGACTGGTCTCCCTAGGGCGTCCTCGTGGAGGCGCCATTGCCAAGCCGACTGGGGGCCATTTTTTTCTTGCAAGCTGGAAAGGCAAAACTGCGGCTAAATGTTGAAAGCCCTCTGTATCACCCATTCCTTTCTTTCTATCTTTTTTCCTTTTTGCAAAAAGTCACCCAAACCAAAGGTTTCTCGAGGCAGTTTCCGTTACCTCTGGAAAACATTTCCCACCCAACCCTCTACCCCGGAGGCCCATGCGGGAAGGCCGGGCCGCCAGCGGGAGGGCTGCAGCCCAGAGCCTGGGAATCTTACCGAAGTCGGCGAAAGGCGGGCTGGGCATGGGCAGCAGCGGCCTGGGCAGCTCCAGTCGGCCATTGCCTGCGGCCTCCGCCCCAAGCTGGAGCCGCACAGGGTAGGGCATCGCCAGAGCAGCTCGCTCGCTCGGCCCCACGTGGCCACGACCCCCCAGAACTGGCCGGAAGGCACTCGGGCCGGGGCTCGGGCCCCGCGGAGGCCTCTCGGCGCCTCCTGAAGCGGCCAGCGGAGGCAGCGGGCGGAGGCTTGCGCCTGGGCCAGCGGCCACGGCCCCAGAGGCCAGCTCCAGCCCCTGCGCGCCCAGGGCCACCTTCTCCTCCTCCTCGGGGGCCTGCCTCTTGAGCATCATCTTCTGCTCAGCCATGATCTTCTGGCGCTCGGTAATCAGGTAGCACTTCTCACAGAGGCACTGCTTCCAGTGGCACTTGCCCGCATGGCCCCTGACCGGCACCAGGAAGCCATGGTTCCGGCACCTCGAGCACTTGGGGGTGCGCAGCATCTTGTCGGCCAGCTTGGCAGAGTCTGCCTTCATAGCACAACCGCCACCTCTGGGAACTGCAGAGCGAGTGGAGCCGGGATGAGCTGTGTCCCACAAGTCCTTGGTGCTGGGGACTTGGATACACTTGTAACAAATAAGCTCTCGGCGCGTCCCAGGAACTGCAGCAAGACTTTTGCATTTTCCCTCCCTTTTTTTGGGTGCAAAATTTGGAGTTTCTGTGCCTTGGGTAATTAAGTGCAAGAAATTGAATTGAATAAATTCTTCATGGGATGACATTGCATGTGTGTCATCTGGGTTATTTGAAGTATTAGGCATTTAATTTTCCAAACTCTCTATTCCCGCCACCCAGTGACATACTTTGTAAATTCAAAAAAGGCGGAGTGATATTCAGTGGCCCACAGATTTAAAGCGCCAGAGGAATGTAGCTCTCAGTAAACCAATTCCAGTAGAAAGGCACTGTAAGACACAAACCGTGTTTCTCCTCCCCCAAGCTGCTGCTTCTGCTGAATTTCATTTCTCTCCCCTGCGGAGAAGCAGCCAGTCACAGTGATGCTTCTAGAATATTCTCAAAAGCTCAGTGCAGCGCGTGCTGATTGCTCAAGGGTGTGCCTATACAGGAATTCCCATTTCTTAAAGAGTCTTATTGGTACAGAAATGCATTTCTGGCAGATAGCCTATTGCTGTTGATGCCTTCCAAAGTAAAGCATATTTAAAATGTTTTAAAGTAAAATAGAGTTAGGATATTCTAGCACTAGCTTGAATCATTGCTTAACTTTGCCATGAATTTAGTTATCCCTGTAAAGCAACCCAAATCTTGGGACAGCTGAAAAGCTAGCACAAACTTCATAGTTTACCCAAGGTCATTAAATTAATTCAAATTCTTTTTTGATAGAAATTTGTGACACCTTGAGGTCTTTTCTTTTATTAAAGTGCTTTTTTTAAAATGTGTCTGCTGTTTCTGTTTGTCTGTGAATTCTTTTTTTTTTTTTTTTTGAGGTCCAAAACAATGAGCCAGTAACACCTATGCTAAAAAGCTTATAATTGTAGGATGTCATATTTAAGGAGGTAGTGATGGTTAATACCTGGCTAGAACATGTGCACTTTTTATTGCCCTTTCTTTGAAATTCTCTTTCTGGTGGTAAAATGGTAGAAGGGCCTGGTGTCCACCTTGATTTTACTGAGTCTCTGATGCATCTGTGCTTTATATTGTCACTGGTTGCCTTGGAATAGGAAATGGTTGCCATCCTAAGGCTCATTAGACACTGGAAAGCTTGTAAAGTCTTTTTCTGCTTAAAAAAATATACATATTTCTCAACTTAATAAGAAGGCAAAAGTATATATTTCCTGTATGATTTGGCTCTTCAGGAACACTGGTATCTTTGCATCCATTTAAAGAGGTCCAGGTTTGTCTCTGCTTTGTTCTAACAACCTCTATATTAAGTTTTTATTTTAAAAATATGGTTGCTTAGATAAAGGACAGACAAGCCCTTTTTCTGACTCTACCTAATTCCAAATGTATAGTTTTTTCACTGACCTTGTCATTTGAAAATTATATGTAAAAAATCATAGTTTCAATACTGCTGTCAGAAAATCTGGGGCATACACTGTATTGTTTCATGATACTCCAAACTGTGTGGTCATTTTCTGCGTTATCAAATTTAAATTTGAACATCAGGTGACATTGGATAATAAGGCCTAAAAAAGAAAACTACTCATTTATATTTCATGCTTGACCACCCAAGATCTCTTCATTTTCTCATTAATGATTTAAAGGAACATCCTATTCAAAGCAAGCTATTCGAGTTAACATATTTAGCCTTGTTAACTACAAAATGCTTCCACATTCATTTGATAGCTTTGGGGCAAAATACACCCAATTTGCATAGTGCTTTGAGAACACTAATAAACAACCATATATCTTTTTAATCAGTAGTCACATTATAAGATGTAAAAACCCCAAGGTTTATACAGTAAACAAATCTAAAAAGAAAAAGACTAGTTTATTTCTCCATTTCCCCCAAAGTCTTAATTTGTGTAGGTGAATTTCAACAGAGCTTTATTTCTCTCTTGGAAATTCAGGCAAATTGATAGTTTTGTTTTATTTAGGTTGATGGCTGATTACTTCTCAGGCTGCTGCTGTTTTAAAAACACATACACATTTCTTTAAATTGTTGTTTAAAAAGATGGTGACATGATATAAAAGTAGAAAACAGGAAGTCAAAAAAGGATAGGAGCAGTAAGTACACAGTGGTCCGCTTCCTTCCCCACACCTAAACCTTAGGACATTTATGTTTAAGAAAATCTGCATCATCAAAGGCAATAATTTATAAATACCAGGTTATAGTTGCTGGGGAATCACCAGTTTGACTAATTAAACACAAAGGGGCTATTTGGTGGTCATACCTAATTCCCAACTTCAGAGATGGCCCTTTTTCTCTCAGGGCCTCAAGTTTCCTAATGCCTCTTCTATTTGGTTGATATGATTGCTATTGGTACTGTTTAATTCATATTCATTTTATGCAGTGCAGAGGGGTATCATTTATAATCATTAAATATTGCATGCACTAGAATGTTTCCTTATTGGTAGCACACAAGAGTAAGGAAGGCCTTTCTTGCCTATAGCTTCTTTCCCCCAACAACTATAACCCAGATATCTGCTTTCTTCCCCTCTTCAGGCTCTCTCTAATGAGCAATGAAAATTTTATTGAAGATTTCATAGAGAAGGTAGAGGGGAAGATTTACATGACACATCCTTTAGCAGGTGCTTTAAAATCCTGCTTTAGCATTTCTGTTCTCTCAAGATCGTTCTCTGCTGTGCCACACCCACTGGAGAGAAACTGGTCTGTTCTCCACCCTCCCCACCCCAAAACCCAGCCTCTCCAGTTTCTCTCTCCTTTCTTGGTTTTTTCTTAGCCTCTGTAAGGGCGGTGGTTATCTTATTTTCCTGTATGTCTAGCACAAAATTGACATTCAGTAAGTACTTGTTGAATGTATGAATGAATCCTGCCTCCCTCTCCTGCTAATGTCAAAGCTATCTCCTCCCTAATTGGCTTCAGCAACTTTCCCCAAACATCATACAAGTGCTCAGCAAAACAGCCCACAGTGATCATGGCCACTCTTCTGATCAGCAGAATTGGGGGATCAACTTTGGTTCCCTGAACTCACCCCTGACCCCTAATGGTCAATAATAGTAATAATAATAATAATAATAATAATAGCTAGCACTTACTAAGTGTTTATATGTGCCAGGAACTCTTAAGTCCTTTACATGTATTAATTCATATAATTCTCACAAAAACTCTCCAAGGTAGGTACTGTTACTATCGCCCCCATTTTACACATGAAGAACTGAAGCCAAAGAAGTTAATAACTCCCGAAGGTTTCACAGCCATTAAGTGGTAGAGCCATGATTCAAAACCAGGAAATCTATCCTCAGAGTCTATGTTCTTAACCATATATTTGCTAACCCAAATATTTCTTCTAAACCAAACAGTGCTCTCCCCAAGAAAGCTTTGGTGATGAATAGAAATGTTTATCTTAATATATACCTCATTACAGGGGGGGCAAAAGGGGGTGAACGTGGGAGTAAGCTGGGGAATATTCCTAATATGCCCTGGTTAGCTGCTTTCCTTTACCTATGGCCAATATTTACTGAGTGCCAACTATGTGCTAAGCATAAGGCATATGGAAGTAAATAAAAAGACAGGATCCTTTTCTTTAAGCATATATTCTAGCCAGCAACCCAGAGAGTAAACAAATAATTCCAGTGTGATGAAAGTCAGGGAGAGACCCAGGATGTTACGGGATCCTAACCTGGCTTGAGAAACCAAGGAAGACTTCCTTGAGGGGCTGATTGCTAAGCAGATGCCCAAAGGGTGAGTAGCCAGGTACAGAAGCCATAGAGGTGTGGCCTATATGCTAATTACTTATTGCAGTGTGGGTTTGGTACAGCAAGGCTGGGAGACTGGTAAGAGATGAGGTGGAGAGATAAGTAGCAGCCAGGTTGTGGAAGGAGTCCTTGGGGGAAATTGTGTAAGTCACTATCTAAGACCAAGGAGAGGAAATGACATGGCAGAGCCAGGCCAAACTATTATTCTTTCAGAAAGCAGAACAATAAGTAATTAGGACTCGCATAGGTATTGCAAGATTGAAATGGAATAGAGTAGGGTTTTCTTTGGGGTGGTCATTCCAGGTGGGGCACACATTGGCGGCTAGGCATGGACCCAAACCAGCACTGTGCTGGACAGGGGTGTTCCTCCTAAACCTGGAATGCTGTTGACAGATTCATCTGACCTCTCCTAGGAGTCTTAAAGAGGTGAGGCGCAAAGCAGCGATGGAAGACAAAGGAGGGAGAGAAAAGAAGAGCAAGATGCAATCAAACAGACTGAAAGCTGTTACAGAGGTTGTACAGGCAAAGACTGGAACGAACAAGTCATGGAGCAGCTGAAAAGTACACCATCTGGGCACAGAGGGCATGCTCAAAGTGCTACTGTTAGCTGAGTTAGACCCAATAGTACTTACTTTTGTTTTGTTTGTACTTGCCAATTTGATGAAAGAAATTATTTTTACACACAGAAACTTTCATAGTATGTATATGTAGCTGATTGCATGTATTTTTGATGATACTATCAAATTTCCATAAATTTAGAGAAATTTTTGTTCTGCAAAGATGAAAGGCTCATAACTCTATAAAATACATTGCTAACAGGGAATAATATAACCTTTAGTATCTCTGTCCTTTGGTAGAATGTAAATTAAGTTTAACACAACAGGCATGAGTTGAATGCCTACTAAATACAGGGCACTGTTCCCTAGTAAAATCAGAGTCAAAAAGAGCAAAGGAAGAAAGAAAATTAAATTTAATCTTCCTTTTCTGTGTATGGTCCTTGTCTAGTTTCCTGGAACGGTCAATTCCATTTATCAAAAAACAAACAAACAAAAAAACAAAAAACCCAGACATTATGGTTATGAATTATGCTTCTATGAGAATGACAAGCTGATATCAAGAATTTAACTTTTAGGCCGGGCGTGGTGGCTCACGTCTATAATCCTAGCACTCTGGAAGGCTGAGGCGGGAGGATTGCTTGACCTCAGGAGTTCAAGACCAG